TGTTATGCTGGGTGTAGTAGAAGAGAATTTCTGGGTAAACTGGGTGCAGTTGGGGTGGGTGGATAAGATGGCAACAAGTAGTGTCTTGTTTGCTTGGTTGGTGGTGGAAGGAATGGCAGAGTAATTAAAGGTATATCTAGATGGGGGCATTTTGGGGATAGGGAGGAACCTGTTGCTAGGGAAACACCCAGGAATCCACAAGGATTACCCCAGCTAAGATTCCTAATAATAGTGGATATGTACCCTGAAATGGCCATCCCCTATAATCAGATCGGTGACTAGTTGTCATCAGAGAGCCTTCATCCAATAACTGATGAAAGCAGATGCAGAGATCCACAGCTAAGCACTGGGTTGAGCTCTGGGAGTCCTGCTGAAGACATGGAGGAGTACCCAGGAGTATCAAGGTCACAACAGGGGAACCCATGGAGACAGCTCACCGGAGCTCATGGGAACTCATGGACCCTGGACTGAGAGCTAGGCATAGGACTGAAGTAGGCCCTCTGCATGTGTGAAAATTGTGTAGCCTGGTCTGTTTGTGGGGCTCCACACAGTGGGATCACGAACCATGATGGTTTGCCTCCTCCAGCTTTGATGCAGGGGAAGGAACTTGGTCCTGCCTCAACTTGATGCTATGGTTTGTTGACTCCTATGAGAGGCCGGCCCCTTTCTTTAAGTGGGTGGAGGAGGAGTGGATGGGGCTACATGGGAGGTGAGGGGAGGGAGTGGGAGAAGAGGAGGGAGGGGAAACTGTTCAGTATATAAAATAAATGAAAAAAATTAGTAAAATTAATGAACAGAATGAAAAGGTATCAAAGTTATAATACTGTGCGAGAGGTACCTTGGCTGGTGGGTACAAACCACAGCAGGTAAGGGACAAACACTCCCTGTAGACAGAGCTTACAGGAAATTTTATTAGAGGAAGACCCCCTTGAGGCAATACACAGTGCCAATGGGGACCACATATAAGAATTATTAACAGTTGCATAGCAATCTTCAACTTTGGGCCCCAACAAGAAAAGGAGAAATCATACACTATATATTAAAATTACTAATAAATAAATGATGGAAAATAAATCTCAGGGACTAAAACATACAATTATTTTGCTTAATAATTGTGACAATACAGATGACAGGATATTTATATTTTCTCCATGTTTTGTATGTAACAAGTTGAAAACACATTCAGAAAAAGAAAAAGGAAATACAATCAATCCCAAACAAAAATGTTGTTAATGGTGTAGGGTTGGAGCTGTAGGACACTGAGCTAAGCCAATCATTGCATAGCATCATCCTAACTTGGCCAGTGTCAAGTAGGAGAATGTGGTTCTTGGCCATGGTAGAGGTTTTTCTTATTTTGTTAATGAAAAGAACTCAGAGTCCAATAATCTTAATAATTAGCATCTAATGTTTCTTCTAAGCCTTCTTATTTTTGTTACCATTATGAACAAACAAATGATAAACATAAAGCACCAGGAATCATGATTTATGCCATATGGTGTGATAGTAGTTTGTTGAGGATGTTGAGGCTGGGATGTGAGTTCATTTGGCTCTGTGGAAAGAAGACTCTGATATACTTTTAATAATGAACTTAGTCTTTCATAGCTGCTGGGGTCTCCAGCCTCAGTGGACTGCAGTGCTTTCCCTATGGTCAGGGCATTTTACTTTTCTCAGTATTTATACTTTAGCCAGTTGATTACCATATGCTCAGAACAACTTGAATGAGGCTTCCAAAACCACGATGCCAACTGCAAATCTTGATTCATCGGGTACCACAGGTATGTCTACTAACAGACATTACTTTAACATGGTGATATCCCATTTAAGGAATTCAGAAATAACAGAGGTGACCCTCCTATTCATTTTTCTTTTTAAGTGACTTGGTGATTGTTACATTAGCTGTATTGTCAGTATAATTTTCTTTTCATACATTTATGGTATATTTTAGAACAGTGAACTGTGTTGATGTTCATTTTGACTTCATTCAGGAAGAGTGGGCTTTGCTGGATCCTTCCCAGAAGAATCTCCATAAAGATGTGATGGTGGAGACTATAGGAACCTCACTGCTATAGGTAAGACTATGAATTTTCCTTCCCATTTTAAAATAAGGGGGCAACTGTCTCTTGGTTATTGATGCTCTTCTGTACTTACATTTGAAACTGAGCAAGGATGATGTGAATGAATCAGGCATGTTTATAAGGTTCACTGAAAGCAATAACTTAAATGTTGCACAATTTCCAATAATATATCATATATTTTCTGGTACTATATTTTATGCTACACAGAAGGTAATTTTAATGTACAAGCTAATACAAATATGCCTCAGAACAAATTTCAAGGTGTCTGGAAGTTTTAAATAAAGTAAGTATAATTAAAGTGCATTGATGATTATTAAATTCTCAAAAAACTATATACCTCAGTGTCAAGTAGGTGAATTGTGTTCACAAGGCATAAATTTAAGAGAACAGACAAGGAAACCATGCCTTAATAGATATCACCATTTTAACCATAGCCTCATGATAGCTATGTTGTGTACCTGCCAATCCATTTAGTTTCATAACACTCATGTTACATAAGGTATGCTCATTGAATAAGTCAAAAATACATGTCCAAAATCCTCTAATAAGCAAATAGTTCATAGTAAAGCTTGTGTTATTCACATACTTTTGACTTTGCTAATTTTAGTGAGAGGAGGACTCAAGAGACAAGGGTGGCTGTTGTGGAGAAACCTTATTATCTATACCATATGTCTACGAGGAATAGAAAGTTAAATGGTGTGAATGTAATGTGGACACCTTTTATTTGTTACTCTTCCTTTATTAAGTATATTATATGTCACTCTTGATACAAGCCATAAGAACATAGGGATATCTAAAAAAGCAACAAAGCTCTCTCTCTTTCTCTCTCTCAGAACAATTAGAAGATATGTAGCAGCTCCCACTTTGAGTATATTTGTTGAATGTGATGCAAGTTATAAGTAATTGCTTTTCCAGCTTCATTGGAAATATATCAACAAACTCACACTTCAGAAAAGCCTTATCATACTAGGAATATGTATATACTTCTGTTTGTCCTGGTTCACTTTACAAATGTAGTATGACCCATACTATAGTAAAATATATGAGTTTTTTCTGTTCTCTTCAAACATGTGAAAAAATCTCATATATACAAAAGATGCTGTATGAGTATTAGATATTACATAAAGTAACACATACAGGACAGAAACCCTATGAATGTAGTCAAAGTGGTAAAGCCTTTCACATCACAGTATTCTCTTAATGTATAAAAGAACACGTAATGGAGAGGAATTCTATGAAAGTAATGTGGGAAAGCCTTTGTACACCATTGTAGTCTTTGAAATTATGAGAAAAAAATCATGCTGCAGAGAAACTATAAATGTAGTCAGTGTGGTAAGGTTTTACACTTTGGTGGTATTCAAGAGTAAAACTTTTAGTGTTCAATCATTGTGTTAAAGCCTGTTCTTATCACAATAGTCTTTGAGAATCCGAAAAAACTTGTACAGAAGAAAGTCTGGCTATAAACGATTTTGTAAGATCTTTAGCCAACACGTTTTAGGTACACGAGCATTCCAGAGAAAATAGTTTCACAGTGTCAACTATCTGTTTAAGCAGTATAATGCCCGTCTTTATTTTGTTTGCACTTTAAACTCATATGGAAAAAATCCTACAAATTTAAATGATAAAGTAACTGTGGAGGAAGTCCTGTGATTATGTCAATAAAGCACTGTTGAGCCAATAGGAATCTAGATAGGTGGGACTAGGAGTCCAGGAGGACTCTGGGAAGGAGGAACACGGAGAGTCAAGATGTACCACCATGGGGTAGGAAGCCCGGAACTATTCTCCGGTAAGAGAAATACTTAGATTAACAATTATGGGGTAGTTACTTAAGTCAGAGCTAGCCAGTAAGAAACAAACAAGGCCAACAGCGTGATAATTAATACAGCGTCTTGTGTGTTATTTGGGAACTACAGTGCGGCAGAGCCCAGGCGACCAGAGGGTGATAAACCAAAGCGGCTAGCAAGGAAAAAGCTCCTCTCACAAATGGTGATCAGTAGCGGGATTGAATTTCCACGTAGAATGACAAAAGCTTTAAAGGAATTTTAGAAACAAAAGAACGGAGATAAGCACAGCTTCTTCGTAGCAGAATTTTCTCAGGTGTGCTCTATTTTGTTAGTGACAAGCAGAGACTCACGTGGCTTGCTTAAGGTAGTGTTCCTGACTCAGCATAAAATAAAAAAAAACCAACAAGGTTCCTTTAAGAGACTCTGCTAACAATTGAAAAGTTATACGTACAGCTGAAAGTGGCAGTGACCACATCTCTGAGCCTGCAGCTTTTGCTGGATGTCAGACTGAGGCTAAGCTGGAATCACGCTTACGCCCGCCATCTTGAAAAAAAAAAGTCAGTTTCAAACAGCCTTGGTTTTAACAGATAAGACACGTGGCCAGAAAAACGTAAAGATTTATAGTAAAGTCAGACTTGGATGAACAAAATCTCTAAAGGTTTACAGTGTGTTTAAAAATATACATAGGATTGAGAGAGTAAAAAAAAATGAAAATAAAATAGAGAAGCAGGGCTTTGGTGGCTCACGCTGGTAGAATTTGCTGCAGAGGCACAGGCAGGCGGATTTCTAAAGAGAAACCCTGTCTCAGAGAAAAATAAATAAAAGTAGAATAAATAAAGTAATAATAGATAAATAAATAAGCCACGTAAAGATGGAAAATACACAGAGAGTCTAGATACTGTACGCTATTGTGTTTTTCAGTTTTTTAATTGCTCAGGAAGAAACAACTGCTAAAGTACACTTGATTATAAATGCTGCTGAATTAATTCAACTTATATCTTTTGAAAATGCCTTGACTTCAAAATTTAAGTATAAGGTTATGTTACTTCGAACATGAGTTTTTGTTGATGTTTCCATAGAAAATGAAAAGCTGAGGATTCCTTCCAGGCTTCTGTGGTTTGATGAACCAAGACTCCTGGAAGCAGTGGGCCAGGTGTTCCAACAAATGAGACAGCTAAGATGATGGAGCTTCACAGACCCTGAAAATAAGGACTTATACAGATTTCTGAGTTTTGTCATGATCCCCATGGTATTAACAGCACCCCCTTCCAGCATGAAGCAGTTTGGAATGAGCAAAGTCCTAATTCCCATCTTGTTTGTAAATCTGTTTTCATTTAAATGGGATTGTTTATAATTGGTTAATGATCACAACCAATCTCTTTTTAATGGTAAAAAGGGGAATTATGGTATGGGTACGGTTTTTCATTTAGTGATACAAATTCAAGGTCAATTTTCTGATGTTTATATTTCTCTTGATTAAGTATTGTGCTTATACTGACCTTTTAAAACGTAATGCATAATTGAAGACAGACTATAGATAGTTACTTATAATAGTCAGAATTTATAGTTAGGTAAGTTAGGTTTTCTAGATATCCAGAAATATATTTGAGATAGATAAACAGTCTTCAAACCTCTCAAAGACCTTCAGAAAATGGCATTTAAAATGGTTTAGGTTTTTCTTGACAATGAGAAATATCTGTTCCTGGCATCACCAATTACGTCTGAGAGGAAGATGCGCATTGAAGAAACTTGTTATGGAGTTTGCTTTCAACATGGCAAGATTAGCCATTTGGGGAAGAAACTGCTCTTGCCTAGACTGACTGTTGTTGTATAATCTGGACATGCAGGACCCACAGGAAAGTGACTGCTGAACTAAGTCTTACAGGGTTCCTGCTTCATGGAAGAGTATACGAGACTTTCTGCAGGACAAAGAAAAATGACTGACAGACTGCCAATGCAGATGGACAGTTTGAAATTTCCTGCTTTGCTGAGAAATCTTCTGGACACATTGTGGCCTATGGGCTGAAGATGGATGCCCCGACAATACAGAGGAACTTCGGGTGACTGTCCAGGCAGTAAGATGTCTCTGTCAATCCTAGTGTTTATATATTATCCTTCTGTGGTCTTTGATGGAGTTGAAGACAGATAGTTATAATTATAGTTTTCCTTAGTTGTGATAAGAGATAAACTACATATAGGACTTTGGACTCACAAGAATGTGTTCTTGCTTGATAGCTGTTCTGTTGTATATAATTTGACTATGTTAAAGTTAAGACCTTTCTTTTGTTTAAACAGAAAAGAGGAGATATGGAGGAAGTCCTGTGATTATGTCAATAAAGCACTGTTGAGCCAATAGGAATCTAGATAGGTGGGACTAGGAGTCCAGGAGGACTCTGGGAAGGAGGAACACGGAGAGTCAAGATGTACCGCCATGGGGTAGGAAGCCCGGAACTATTCTCCGGTAAGAGAAATACTTAGATTAACAATTATGGGGTAGTTACTTAAGTCAGAGTTGGCCAGTAAGAAACAAACAAGGCCAACAGCTTCATAATTAATATAGCCTCATGTGTGTTTATTTGGGACTGATGGGGCTCTAGAACCAGGCTGGCGGGAAGGCTTCTCTCAAAGAAAAAGCTTCTCTTAACAAGTAACCCTTTTAGATTTCCTCTTCAATGACAGGAAATCACTAATTCAGATATAGAACTTTATGGATGTTTATTTGTGCCTCTTCTGTTGTGATATAGCATAATGTCTACATCACCTCATGAAAGAATTTAATCTGACTCTTGGTTCCAGAGTCATACAGGATCACCATGAAAACAGCAAGGCAACAGGTGTCAGATATGGCAGATATAGCAGGATGCTAAGATCTCACATCCTCAACCTGCAGAATGAACCAGACAGTGGGAACTGGAAATGGTATGCAGATGTCAATTATAAAACCATACCCCCAGTGACATATTACCTCCAGCAGGGCATCATTTCCTTAATCATCTCAAATGATACCACCAACTGGGAAGTATTGATTTCTCTGACTTCAGACCTACATGCTCGCTTTTTGTTATATGAAGCAGATCATGATACAGAAAAACTGTAGGTAAGCTTTTATCAGCCTCAACATCTGGGTTATAGGATTGGAAATGTTTAATGATTTTTGTTAATTTTTATTTTGTTATCCAGTGTGTCTTTAGATATGTGCATGTTCTTAGAATGGTAAATCCTTTAGTCTTCATGTATTTATTTCTAACAGAAATTATAGAATGTTGTTAAAAAACTCACCTTGATTCTGGGAAGGGATTTGTCTTAACTGCTTGACCCTGTCTTTATCCCTCTCAATATTTTAGACCTTGGTTTCAATGAAAAGAATCTGTTTCATCTATTTCATTCAATTATGTTGGCAGAGATCACAGCATTGTAGTTTCAGATTTTGAAAGTTTTGTATGAGGTATTAAAATGTCCTGTATATGTGGCAAATCCACATACTGAAGTTTATTTGCTAGTTCATGTATTCCTTCAGTTTATCTGCTAGTTTAGATATTCCTGCTTTGACTCTGTTCATCTTCTGTTGTGCTTTCACTTGGTGATAGGCAATTGTTTTACTGAAATGTATAGAATGTGTTGGCTATTATCTAAGTGGATCA